CTTACTGCTTTTATCTAAAAAATAATTTTCAATATCGATTCAACGATTTTTTGAATGAAAATTAAAACCTACGGCTTTATGTGATGAGTTATTCGTTTAAGAAATAATAAGTTATATTCTTTGTGATAATGTTAAATGTATATGTTGAATATATAATGTAAATATGGGATTTTCATTTTAAACGCTCCTAATCTGAAGTATAACACATCATCCTAACTCTGTTGTTCCTGGTTGGAGACATAGTTTTGACTTGGTTACTGCACCCTTCCAAGAACAAATGAAGATATATAAAAAGTTCCCAAAAATAGCTGATATGGAACAGTGATAAACCCTTTGTTTTACAATAAAAATAATGAATTTCGGACTATATTTAACATATTATAATATATGAATATCTTTATTTAAATACTTTTACGCTATCATTCTTTGAAAAGTTCGTTGATATGGTGGGCTGAGAGGGGGAGGGGAAAGAGCTCAATGTTGACAATTAAAGGATCACAATCTCCATATAAAACAAGTAGGAACATTTATTTCCGTAGTTGATAAAAAGTATTTTCGACGAATTTCCGTCTAATTTGTTTGAACGCCATTCCCTTAACGAGGGTGCTCGCCCGAGGACTCCAGTGTTCGTCCACATGTTGCCGAGCGCCGTTCGAGTGCTCGCGAAGCGGTGGCGGGAGGCGGCTTTGGCAACGGTTTTCTGCGAGCCCGGCGACGATCCGTGGCAATACACGGGCTCTCCTCACGCTGCACGCCGCCGAAGCACTTGCTTTGTGCGCGCTCCGGGGATTCATTCACGAGAGCTTCCTCTGACGGCGGCGACGCCGATCCTCTTGACGGATGCTGCCGCTCCGGGCGGGAAGCGCTGCGGGAGAGGGCGGCGGATCGTTTGTGAATAACAATCAATTCGGGCTTTGAGAGACAGTCGGCGGATCATCGAAGGCGGACGCACTGTTTTCTCGAAAAGGCGGACTTTTGTCGGAAATGATTTTTGGTGAGCGAAACCGTGAGGGACGCACTATAACTGGAAATAAACGGGATATTTTTGTAAGTTTTCATCGTCAGAATAAAAGCCCATTAAACGCGACATAAATTGTGATGAATTATAATTAATGAGATCAATGAGCTGGCAAGAATGAGGGTGGATTGATAAGTAATGCACCACAATTAATAATAATAATAATAATAATAATAATAATAATAATAATAATAGTAATATTTATTGAGTCACATATACAATTATAATCGTGTAAGACGAGTCAATATGATATCTTGGGTGGAGAGAGCAAAGTTACATTACTGATTTAGAATTTATTTAGAAAAAGTATGAAAGGAAATAGAACCATTCGCACACCACTATACTAATTTTCAATATCGTCACTAAGATTTGCAACACATTTATACAATCGCGACCCACGTTTGCAAACACCATGTGCATAGAAATTCCCCTGTTGTGTGTGCCGAAGCCAAATCTACAGGCAGTTGATTTGGCTTCGGCTTTGGAAGCTAAATGTTCACCTGACAAAAATTTCTTCATTGAGATGAAACAATAATACTCGGAGGTGCCAATACCGGACAATATTCTGGAGCACCTCTTAAACCGCATAAACTTCCGTGCGAATAGGAGTCGCCACGAGAGGACGTGCGTCGTCATGAAGAAGTTTGACATTTTTCAGCTTTGGGGCGTTTCTCACGAAGTACGCGAGGCATCTTGACTAATGTTTTCGCATACGAAACGGCATTCACAGCATTCCAGACGCACAATTCGCTGAGTTGGAAAAGGCTTCACTCTCAAATGACCGCCTTATACGCACAGGGTGTTTGAAAACTTGTGTGACGATCAGAGAAATGTGTTGCAAGACTTAGTGACTGTGTTGCAAAATAGTGAAGAGATGTACCTTAATTTTGTGTATATTCTTGACGTGTTACCTGTTATACTTTCTTCTAAATCAGTTGTGAGTTATTTATTTACTTATTTATTTGATCGTGTATGTTGAATATGAACGTTCGTGCTTTATTCTCTAAAGTTACTTTTAAATTTACTTCGGTTCTTATTTAATTCGAATAATTTAAACAGTGACTTTCAAAATTATGTTAAGACGTATGACAGAGCAATTTTTATAGCATCTTGAATGCTGTAATGTTTTGGACACAATATTTATTACATGCTTAACTTCATAGAATTGCCAAATTTATCCCCCGATCTCTCCTAAAAATATTAGTTTTCGAAGTGACACTCGAACAGAATTAGAAAAATTTAATTTTAAAAACGAAGAGTATTTTTAATCGTGGATATGGTAAATGGGGAAGAGTGATTAGAATCGCGTTGCACACATTCTTTTTTTAGCTTTGCCCCTGGAAGAGTATGTAATACTCATGGGTTAATACTCTCGTGCGTTGCGGCTTGCATCGCCCCTGTACTCTGCTATCTTTGTGAACCAATGTTTCCCTCTTGGAAAGTGCTCCAACAGCTAATGTGATACCATGTACGTATAACGAAGAGTGTTCTTTTTTTAAATAATATATCTTTATTAGTGAACGAATATACATTGTTCAGTATTATTTATACTACATCATATGTATTTTATATGACTTATATTTAACTTAAATGCTAATCTTTCAACTAAATCTAACTACACATGAATAGGAAACTCACAGAGCACCTATGTGATTAATTGACTTCTGAAATTATGCTGAGGAATGAATCTAATGGATATCTATTTTTATTCTTGTTGGGAGCTGGTAGGTGGTGGCTAGGCCGTAGTGGGTGGCTAGGGTTATTGTGTTTATTTTGGAGAAGAAATTGTTAGATAGGAGCGCGATATGGTAAAGTATAGGAGGTAAATTAAATTCTTTGTGCAGTTGAATGTTTGAGATGAACCAGGGTGCATGAGTGGCAAGTCTGAGGAAATTATTTTGGATGATCTGTAATTTATTAATATTAGTTTTTGAGGCATTGATCCAGATAGGGCATGCATAAAGCATTAGGGGTCTAATTATTGATTTATAGATGGTGATGGCATTGTTTAATGAGAGTTTACTATTGCGATTTAAGAGTGGCTTTAGTTGAATTAATTTTATTTTGGCTTGCTGTGCTTTTACTGTTATGTGATTTTTCCAATTTAGTCTGGTATCAAGATTCAGCCCTAGGTATTTAACAGATTCATTGTGTGAGATCCATGGAATTGGGTTATTGTTTATTCGGAGTGGTGTTGGGGTTGAAAATGTTCTTAATGAGAATATTTTGGCGCATGATTTTGTAGGATTTAGTTTGATTTTCCATTTGACAGACCATTCATCAATTTTATTTAAATGTGTTTGAATTTGTTTACAGATTTGATTAGTTGAATGATTAGACATGAAAATTGCGGTGTCATCGGCGAATTTGGCGATGTGCGTTATGGGAATGTCGGCTGTGTATATGTTGAAAAGCGTGGGGGACAGTGGTGAGCCTTGAGGTAATACAGCTATAATTCTGCGGGGATTGGATGTGTGATTATTAACTGTAACTGAAAATGTTCTATCTTGGAGAAAGCTATTAATGGTATTAATTAAATAGTTAGGGGTACCTATTTCTTTAAGTTTGAATATTGATCCAGGATACCACACTTTGTCAAAAGCTTTCGAAATGTCTAAAAAGGTAACTATTGTATGCTGTTTTTTTTGAAATGCCGTGTGTATGTGCTCCGTGATTCTTAATAATTGATGAGAAGTGCGAAGAGTGTTCACGAAGAGTGTTCACGCTAGAGCTGATTGTTGTCACGATTGTATTGCGCCATCACGAAATATCCTCTGACAAGACAGGTGAGAATCAACATGCTCAAAAACAATAAATCTAAAATGTGGTATCTAAGTTGGCATTTAAGCATTAGCGCAAATTTATTAAGAAGAGATGCTGTCAAGATCTTTTTCGTAATGTGGAATATTTACTTAATTTATATAGCCTTATATTCAATTTACAGTATTTTAATATGTAATGATGTTCCCCGCAACTTTATGGGGAAGGAATACACATATTGCAGTTCCATTAGAATGCATGCAATCATACATTTAGAACAAAGAGTTTTAAAAGAATAGTTAAGAAATATTACTTTTATGATCAATGAACCAGTTCAAAATTAGCATTTGTTTATGATGAATTCATGCAGTTGTTTTCTTCGGTCCATTCTTATTTCATTAGAGCGTCTGGAATTGAACATTTAAGAAATATTTGTTTTAATCATCGTCTCAGCTTATTTTCAGTAAACGGTTGACTATTATAAATTCTTGTCTTTTGCTTTAGTAAATTTTAGAGACTCATTCAGTGTAGTTTGTATCAAACATTTAATTAATTAATGTGTTGCTGGGAATTATTATACGTATTCTTGTATTTTGAATTTAATAGTTAATTAAAGAAAATGAAAAGTTTTTGTATGCCAAGACCGATTAAGCAAGTATGAGAGTCTGCTGAATTACATTTGTCCATTATAATAAATTGTCATGATATTATATTCTGCATTAAGGTGATTTTATATTTTTAGAGATAATCAAACTATTTCTTTTTTATCTCATTACACCTCATAAAAGTAGTTTCAATATATCTTCAGATCAAGCAATCCACTTACGAAATAAACATTTCTACCTCCATTTAATGACAACCCGATTTGAGACTCTCAGAAAAAAAATATATATAGAAAAAACATGAACTTACCTCTGCCTCCGCAGAGGAGAGAAACCCTCGTTGAAACAACCGGACAATGGCAGAGGAGCGCGCGGCAGGCAGCGGGGCAAGTTGCAGCGAGTGGAAGTCGGCGTTTATCGCGCTGCGCCGGCTCGATTGCTCGCTGCTTGGCGCACGTTGGGCCCAAACGGACCCGCACGAGCGCAAAACAGGCGGGCGGGCGGCGCTCGTTGGGCCCAAACGGCCCAACGCAAAATGCACGAGCGCAAAATAAGGTTCAATTAGTTCTTTGTATTCCGTTTGTTTAATTATAAAATGTGATGCTGCAGTTTGACTCGTGATGGTTGATATGATACAGTGTGGTGTTAATACAGGTTGTCAACCCATCATCGGAATGTTAGCAAACCAAGATTTGAAACCTATGTAATTATTTCGACACAAAGAATGTTTGCGGGATGCAAAGAATGTTTATAATAATGTGTTGTCAAGATAAAAGAATGAAGAAGAAGCTAAGGGGAGATATACAGATATAAAGAAAGATTGGAGACGAAATAGACATTGTGAATAAATTCTTGGTTATCCGTGGCTGTCACTGCCCTGAGGAAGCCTGCGACATGTCAGGCGGAACGTCGGCCTCTCTGCCAACGACGCGGCGTCTCCCGGATAGACAATAATTTATGGAATCGCGCCACGGAAGCTTACGTGTGCAGTCATTATGAATGTTGAAACATAAATATGATGTTAATAAATACAATTTTCACAAAATTACGTACTCTTATGTATGTATGTATGTATATATGTATGTATGTGTGTGTGTGTGTGTGTGTGTTTATGTGTGTGTCTGTATTGTTTGAGAAAACGTCAAAAGAAGTTATGTATTTAAGATAGGAATGATTGCATTCATAAAAAAATAACACTTTCGGCTCACTGTGCGCCAGGGGGCGCAGGAGGGCGGGGCGGCAGGAGGTTCTTGAGGGCGGAGCGAAGCTCTGCCATCTGCACGCGGGCGCGGCGCCCCCGGCATCACGCGGCCCCTCCCCTGCGCCATCCTCGCCCCGCTTCGTCCCGCCCCGCGCCACTCTTCACTCGGCGCAAGTTGTTTTAAAACGTTTATTTAAATCTCTGTAATAACAAAACTTGGCCCGCCCTCATTACGAGGAGATTAATTTAGGAAGTCCGCAGTTTCGCTAATTCCGCCTGCGGGTGGGCGGGGCTTTGGGCGGGCGGGCGTTCGGAAGAGGCGGCGGCGATCGCCCCAAGGGCTAGCGGCCTTTAGCTCTCCTCCCCCCTTCGCCCGAGCTTCTTCCCTTTCAGTTTCCACCCATTGCACAATGTTACTTGCCATTCTGCGCCCAACTCGCGGCGTTGTTCTTTCGTCGTCCCAACATTCGCCCTCCCGGCCTTCTTTTCGCCGTCCCACTGACCTTTCGTGATCATCAGAGCGTTCGGTATTTTTGTTCTGGGCTCTTTGTCGCTCGGTGGCTTCTTTCATTTCCGTTATTTTTACCACTATAATCTTACATTGGGTTACCGAATCATTTTTCCACTTTCAGTTCAATTTTCAATTCCATTTTATGTTTAAATGTTCAACACTACTTAGTTATTCTTGGAGCTTTTTATATCTTGTTGCTGGTTTTGGCATCAAAAGCTTGCAAACATTACGATTATGACCTTTATTTTATATATTTTCTATTTAATTGACAGGTTTGTTCTAAAAAGATGTTAACTTTTAAATCAACTTTTAAAATTGTGAATTTTAATGCCATTTTTGTAATTTTCTCTAATTTTGTATTTCTATTACGTGAAGAATGTAAAGTACTGAGTTAGGCCTTTAAAAATCATTAAGAAGTGAATAAAATGTATTTTATACTTTGATTTAAAGGGCGAAACTACGTTGATCTAAATGAATCTTCCGAATAAGAGATCGGATAAGACAATGATTCCTTTAAGTGTTGCCAAGGCCGAGTTCAGATAAACACGTTAGATCAGAAATTGAGAACGCAAGCAAGAGTCAAGGGATAATATTTACTATTCGAAAATCGCCCGATCCACCCATTTTTCACCTAACAAAACCACAACGTAGATGCATTCCGTTGAATGCTTCGCCGGTACCTCGGAGTGTTGTTCGACCGACGACTCACATGGAGAGCAAATATCATGCACAGAATTGCAGTGGGCACTAGAACAGTATTTATACCCACTACTCAAGAAATCATCCACGCTTCCATCCATACATAAATATCTACCAATCTACGATACAGCCAATATTAACCTATGAATCTCGTCTGGACGTAGCATCCAAAACCTGTACTCTCAAACTACAAACCTTCCAAAAATACCCAAGAATAATCACTAAGGGACCCATGTTTATTTCAGGAACTCGGTATCAACCCCATCATAGTACATTCCTCTGTTATATCCAAAAACTACAGAAAAATATTTCGAATACTGACTGCTACCACTTCAATCTTAAAAAATAAAATATTATCAAAAAGGTTTGAAAAGAAAACGGCCAGGTATGTTTTGATCCATCTTAAGTAGACGAGACATACTAGCCTTTTCATATAATGTAATGTTCTCCTGAAACGAAAATTATAACACTAATGATCATGAAAACCTACTCTATCGACGTAAAAACCAGTGTGTCAGTCGCACAAGGCTACAAGGGGCCACAGGCCAAACAAGAATAAAATGAAGTTGTGGAGTATATATGGGATGATAATGTATGTAGGAAGGTCTCTAAGGGTTCTTTATTATCCACTTTCTGTATTTCTCATTGGGAAATAAACAATAGAGCGTTGATTACGTTTCTTATAAGTTTATTTGGAACCATTTGTGAAGCTTCAAAAATACTAGGAGAAACATTCTTCCAAATTGCACATGCGTAAATTAATGTTGACCTTACTATGGATTTGTAAACGAGTCTATTTTTACATGACCTATGTACATGAAGGATTGATTGCAATTTTGACGTTTTAATGTATGCTTTGCCTCTGCTTTACTATGCGCTTTACACCTTCTTATCTATAAACACATCTATACATTTAAACGAGATATTGTTTTGGCGACCAAGAAACTTCGGAACTACGAGGAACTACTTGGATATACGAACTTCGTATTACTCTTAATGGCGGAAATCTGTAGGACGTCGAAACGTAAAAATTTTAGCTTGTAATTTCTCTGTTGCCCTCCAGTTGCCGGTCCATTTAATATATTTGTCAAAGTGATATGGTAGATCGTCAGAAGCTATTTGAATATTGGTGTCTGGTAAACAAAGATGTCCTCTGTGCATAAATTAATGTTTGAATTTATTTGTTCCAAGATTTGGCATGCGTGAAGATTAAATAGGGTTGTAGAAAGAATAAAACGTTATGGGACGCCAGTAGCAATAAGATATGATGATGAAAATGAATTGTTAATTACAACTTTGAATTTTTTGTCTGTAAGAAAACTACTTATTATGTTTAATATTTATTGAATTAATATTGTTTTTATTAATGATCTCGATCTACGATTTGCAATACAATGCTTTTCATACTTTGGGCTTCTATAAACGCTCAGTTGTTTGAATTTTTTTTTAAATTTCTGATTGTTGCCATTGGGTTAGACTCACGCTTTTTATCATTTCCTGAGGGATTTGATATCTAATACCCCATGATTGCTACTTCTATCACATTAAAGTAACCTCACAATTTTTAAATTGCATTTAATACATTTTCTTTCTAATTTTACCCCTCGAGTTGTTTAGTAATGCTGGGTCAACGACCGTCCATGTTGCCTGGCATTTGTTGGGGTAGCTCTCCATTTGGAAGAGCCCCATTTTGCTCCTGGGACTAATACTCTTTCTTGTGATTACCCATGGTTTTTTCACTGTGTTTCTTATAAGTACGCGTTCCAAAGCATTCCCATTTTTCTTGTATTCTTATGTCCTACTCTACCCCCCCCGACTCAGAACGAATCATCTGTACCTGTCTTCAACCTACGACTCATCTTCCGAATTGATAACTTTTTATCTAAATGTCACCTCATTTTTTACTGCGTTTCTTCTGTTTAACGTTTTTCTGCACTGTTGCTCTTTAGGCCCAAATACATCCGTCATTTTAGTTGTTTATGTTTTTATAACAGTCATCTCGTCCTCACATTTTATCCTTACTCCTTGATCTCCGCAACAGATCACATGCTACGTTTTTAACTATACCTCCACTTCCCACAATATCCTCTTTTATTTCCTTCTGTCTCACTCCCTCGCATCTACCTCCCTCTTTATTCCTGCCCCTGGGTTTCTCCACTTCCTCCGTCCTCGCCCTCTCTCAAAACTTCTTTCTTCCTGCGGTGCTCTCCGTGGCCTTTTTTTTTTCTTTTTTTTTTTTTCTTTTTATTTTTTTTTTTTTTTCTTTTTTTTTTTTTTTTTTTCTCCGCGTTGCCCTTTCCCCTTCCTCCCCTCTTTTACCCTCCCCACAACCGGAGGCAGCCACTGCTGCCGCGAACGCGCCGCGCAGCGCCGCGCCGCGGAGGCCGTTACCAGACCTCGGAGCCCGAGCTCGTGGCCGCTCGCCCTGCGGTATTCGAGAAAGCACGACAGCGGAAATGCGCGGACAAAGCAGCACTTGCCCCGCGTTAAGGTTATGGCTCTTTTTCCTTGCTCCGCCCGGCGCGCGGAGGCCGGGGAAAGTGTGATTGCACGAAATTGGATGTTGAGATTTCGTCGGAACACGCATTAAGAGTCGTTAACTTGACGTAAATGCGTTCCATAGAGCGAAATCTCCTGCGGGTGTCATATTTATGAAAGCTAATGAACTGAGATGATTTCATTTGACTACTGGTATAAATATATAAAAGAAGTCTTTTCTTTATTTTTATTTTGAATTCGTGTTTCATTTTTTGCCTCTGAGATATTACTTTCAGTAAAATCTACACAGATTGTAAATTAGTTCCACCGCTTTTGTTATTTGAGAATGGTCATACTCAATATTTTTAAATTTATTTAATAGGCAATTATAACATAAATAAATTAAATAACTTAATACTGTTTGGCTAGGCCGAAGGCCTTTGAGCCATTGTAATACATACATCCTACCGTGTTCTAACCTTTCGAATTCTGTCATTCACACTAAATTGTCTCTCGATTGCATCAAAGCCGCAGCAAAGAGACCATAAGGTACGGCTGACAAAAAAATTCTGAAATGGGGAAAACCTTCTGCCAGAAGATGGGTACCTACTCGTCTACCAAACTTTTGAAAACTATTTATTTATTTCATTTCGCGGACACCAGTGATCCTCCTTACAGTCTTTGGCCTCCTCAGCAGCTGAAATCAAACAGCACACAGAAGATCGATCGCACCTTCGGCTCTGCGCTTACTTTTTGAAGACCCTCTACAACTTGCGTGCTTAATTTATTAAAACGCTTATTTTATTATTTACGTGCTTATTTTATTATATCATGGTTTACTTACTTGTTTATTAATTTACTCCTTACTTAATGACTTACTTATCAGTTTACTAAAAATACTGATTAAATTATTCATTACTTAATTATTAACTTATTTATTTCCTCTCCAGTCTAGACTCCACTCATACTAACCAGCGCTGTTTTTCCTCGCCGTAATTTACGTTTTTCTAATGGTCCGAACTTTATGATCCTAATTATTTCTTGACACGACACTTATCACGTAAGATGTTCTGGGCGAGCTTTACGTTTTTCTATTGGGAGTTGTAGTCCCTCTTTTCTATCCTGTTTCTGAAGTTTCTGTTTTCATAGCAATTTAAAACGATGTGGATCCCTATCATCGTATACCACACAAATGCCATTGCCATTTGAGTCTTTCTATCTATGTTGCATCCACCCCATCCCTGAACCAAGCGTATCCCCCTTTTGCGTCGAGTCTAACAATTATGAACGTAACTTTCAGAACTCCGTACCGGACTTGTGTGTTACTAGCGAACGTTTTTCGGCTGATGCTGCTAGAATATCGTACCTTTTAATATCCGAACGTCTATGAGAAACTACACGTTCTATCTCACGTATTCCCCTGTCCTCAAACATTTACGAAGAAACGTCTCCCAGACCTGCGCGTTCTAATAAAATTTAATTTTGCACGACCAGGCTGGTGATGATACTTAATTTTTCAATTAACAGTTAATTGTTTTCAAAGAGAACGAATGATTGAAGTTTTGTTATTCATTCCCGACGACGGATGTAACTTAGGTAAATTACTTTAATATGATTCATCTCATGTAATACTGACGCATTAAACAAATTTTTCGAAAATTATTTTTAGTTTCCTCTTCCCATCCAGTGCATTGGATAAAAAATTCTCATGTGATGATCAGCTGACCTGGAAAGCAAGTGTTTACGCAAAAACCTATTCAACTCGACAACTGGGTTTTCTAAACTGCATTGCGTGTCCCTGGCAAACAGGACATTCACTCGTCGTGCAAACCTCACTCTTCAACTACATGAACGGTTTATTGACCGTGGAATGTTCTGAAGCGTGTTTTGGGTTCGTATGAGGCACATTTTATATTCTTTCTGTTTTGGCCCAAACAGTTGTTTTCAGTAAGTGCGTTGCTTTTCAATTTGACTGCGCAATTACACATACGCGTGCATGTTTTTGTACTTGTACATAAACTAATTGAAACGCATCAATAAAAACTCCATATATATTGTAATAGTGAAACTATATTTTTTATTGATGCAAGATTTAAAAAACCTTATTACGTCACTGGTTGTGAATACCAGATTATATTATTGCCGTTTGTGAAACCTTTGAAATAATTATAATCTAAATTGTCACATTTTTTCCAAATCATTACAATTTCCTAATTCAGAATATCACAATACTAGGACGCTTATCACAATATTGAAAGAACATGTTAGTAACTTTTAGGACATACGAGTAGCAAATGACCTACGATATATTACATGAATATATATTATGTCCAAATATAATATTGTAATACGATGTGATTGGAATTATACGTTTCATACACGTTGTAAAAACTTTATTGAGTTTAAATTTGACTATTCACGTTGCGAAACTCAAACATATACCCTTTTTATTTTTTAAGGCATTTTTTCTTATAAACGGCACCAAATTGTTTGATACAATGTTGATCTCCGATAGGATAAAGAATTTTTAACACAATGAAGCAGAGTTCAGAGAGAAGCTCTTGTTCTTTAAAATTCTAATTTTTCCTAATTTTCCAAAAATTCCAAAAATTCAAAATGTATTCGAGTTTTTTACAACAGTAATTAAGGTATTTTTATAAAATGTGTTAATTAATATCACATTAATAAATAGGGTCATCTACAAAAAAACTTCAAATAAGATCATGCTTAATTTTTGAAAATAATGTTTTTTTGTAATTCGGCGTCAAACATATGCAATTTTTAAATTAAAAAAATATTTGTCCTTATTTTTTCACGTATGTAGCAAATAGTGGTTTAGAAAATGATGCTCTATTTTCGTCGCACTGTCTGTATTTTCGAAAATTGAAAAAAAAAATTGGTTTCTCGCGCTTTGAGTGTCAATATATAAGGCCGTAACATCATAAAGTGTCAATATACAATAATCTTAAATTAAATTAGTCCAACTAGATTTTATTGGGAAAAACTTACAAATTACAAAAGTTCATTACGTTCATAATTGTGATAAATATAAACAAATCTAATGATCAAATACATTTCTATTTCGATAAAAATGTAAAAATGAGAGTTTCAGCACGCCAGAAAAGTACAAAAAATGAGGTCAAAAACATTTTATTAATTTTGCTAATTGTAAGGATCGTAATATTTGAATAATAATAAGAAATTTTAAAGTAGCATTTGAAGTAGAATAAATTACAGTTTATAGATTAGTGTCGGTATCGACAAGAGCGAATATTACGCTTAAATTGACCATGCAGCCTGGCTAGGAGGTTGCCCTTTCGATGCCAGCCGGGTGCAGTGAAATACGATTGCAGTGGATTAAGAACACTCAAAAATAATATCACTGGGCATTAGTTTTCGTTGTTTTATGGTTTTATTTTGTTTCGTTTTAGTGACATGGGTTGATGACATGATATTTCTTCTATTGATACTATTGTCTATCACGTTCGTTTCGGAAATGGTGACAGAGAGGAGTATGACAACGACAGTGATGTTTTCATTTCCCACGCTGCAACCAATAGAGCAAGTTCTGTTTATCGGACGTAATTATTCAAAACAAACAATGAACAATATATACAAATGATGTTTAAACTTTTAAAATGCAAATAAAGGCATAAGGGAGATAAACACAATACAATTTAAATTACCAGATTTCAACGGCACATTTTGTTAGTTTCATAACAAAGAGCTCGAGCATAATGGAAGTGATATGGTCACTTCGTTCTTTACATTATTTCAAAATTTGCCCCACATTCTATATTTTAAATGCATTGTGAAAGGGGTATAGAGTAGTTAGAGTTTGTGAGTTCTGTGAGAAAATGAAATATATTTCTCTTCCGCTGTTAATAAATAGTGGGAAATCACATCTTAGAACGCATAGCCACAATCCAGACAGAATATTTCCATTGAAATCTCTATATTTCATTATTTATTTTAAGACAATTAGTTTTCGTCGTTATTTCGTGATAATAGCACAATGTTAAGGGGAAATACAATCGCTCATACCTGGAAGCATGACCGCCTGGAAGGAAATCTGAAACGTGAATATTACTGTGCTAGGAGTTTTTGTATAACAGATAATTATACCAAAACTATTAATAACTTTATATTATTTTTACTAAATTTATTTTTGGAATGAATTATATTCAATACGAAATGAAATCTGTGAATTGTAGTTTTCGTGATATTTCCAATTGAAATTGTAATTATTTCATTTCCGTAATCATATAAAAAGATTATTTTATGCTGAGTGCTGAGGAATAGTGACGTAGATAAAATACAGAATATTATTATTATTATTATTTTGCCCGCGAATCGGCCGACTAGGACCACGCATGCACCCTGCATTTACCGTGGCTCAATATCATTATCGCGGTGACAGGTGCATGTAACTTTAATTGGGGACCAGCATTTAGCTGAGTCCGATTTTTATTCCCCAGAGTTGTTAGCTCTGGGAGTATAGAAGATGAAATGCTGATGATAATGAGGGGTGAAAGGACGACACACACATAGAGACACAAATACACCCATGCCCGAGACGGGACTAGTACCCGTGATCTTCTGGTCCGAAACCACTACGGCACTACTGTATTAGCGGACTGGGTCACTTGATCGACATTATTATTATTATTATTATTATTATTATTATTATTATTATTATTATTATTATTATTATTATTATATTATTATTATTATTAATGTTGTTGTTATTACTACTACTATTATTTCATCACTGTTTTTACATTTTTATTTCACATATGTATTGTGATTAGTTTTCATGAAAACCTTAAGGGAAATTTCAGTTTTGTACACATTATACAGCATCAACGACGTGCAATCATGTAGGTGTGCTGTTTGGCCATTGACAACAGATTGAAGACGGAAGAGCAGAATTTGTATATTTCGTTTTAAAAAATGAACAGCAATCCTCAACCCACGTTACATTAGTAACACACCTATATTTTACAAAACTCGGAAACGACATCGCCGTAAAACCGGGTTTTCAGACTCCTATAAAGGTTACCGTATCATATAATGTGTTAAATATCTGTAATAAATGATCTACTATCTGTGGACCATCTCAATTGAACACTGAAAATATCTTCAAAACCCTTTGAGATATCCGTAGTGCGGATGAAGATATAACTACACAAACGGCTAACAGCGACTTTAAATGTTTGTTCATATCTCTTCTTTCAGTGCTCGTGGCTATCTCTTGGTCAGTGTGCTAGCTTTTCACTTCGCGGTTCCGGGTTCGATTTCCGGTCGAGCCAAGACTATACTGTGCGTTTTCCTTGCAGTGCCCTTTTGTATGTTGCTGAAAAATTCACTTCTCAGGTTGAGAAGACCGGAATACGGCGTGGGGATGCTAACCACACGTACCCCCTTAACCCGAGGCCGCGAGGCAGGGACGTCGCCGGTAGGCCTGAGCCCGTTCACGGGCTGTCGCGTCAACTACATACATACATACATCTCTTCTTTCAATTGTAAAAAGCACTTTAAAATTTATCTCTGCGTTTTCGATTATAACACTATCTGCTGATAAAGTCCTAGTGTTTGACATAGTATGTGTAAGATATATTAAAAAGGTACATTGCAACACATCATGCGATGTGGTCCGGCAATTTCGATCTGTGGACCGAAAATAAAAACAAACAAACTCGCAGATGCCATCATTTCTCTGCGAAAATAAGTCACTCCGACTGAAATGAAACAACGGGGAATTCTAGCTTCAGAGACTTCTTCCCGAATCCAAAATCTTTAGAGTAAAACTGTTCGAGGTAGCGGCATGGACCGTTTTCTACCGTGAGGTTGACGTCGGTGAGCCGGAAGAGAAACTCAGATGAGTCCAAGTCTATGACTGGTACTGCGAGAGAGGTTACTGATAAGGTAGAGCTCGGTCGTCAAAAGGCAATATTTAACTGTCACGGCAAGATTCATCTGCATATACCAATTTTTTACTTTTTCTGTTCGCCCGTATTCTGAATAGATTCAATTTACTGATCGGGTTTCATATCTCTGAGTGTCGGATAAATGACTGGTTGTCTAATATAAATTATCTTTATTTCCCGCAATATTTTGCAAAACTACTCATATTTAGAAAACGTTGTTCACGACGTTATTTAAAGATCTACATTTTAAGAATAGATTTCAATAAGAAGAAAAAGAAACATTAAGATTTAGTAGTTGTAGGCTGATGATTTTCAACGATTTATTGATGAAAATTCAAACTTTCGCAAAATTTAGAGAATTGAACAAAAAGCGGTTGTGCACCACTTTATATGCGTTTATTTGTTTTAACGGAAAAAATAAAGAAACAAAGTCGAGTCATTTTTGAGAAAATTTTGAAAATGCCACCGCTTGACATGGCTCCGGCATCAACTGATGTCACTGCAGTCCCTCTGACCGGGAGGCCCTAAGTTCGAGTCCTGATGGTGGCAGAATGTTCGTCACTAGCTTGTTGGCTAGGTCGAATTCAGTCGCTGTGTGGAGGAGAAATCTAGCGGTCAGCTGCTGTGATTGGTAGTTTTTCAATGTCACACCAGTCGAATGCCGGAGCAGTGCCCTAACAAACGGGCCACGATCCGCTCACGATCTCATCTTCCTCTTCCTTGTCGTATCCTCACCCATTACTTGCACACACCCTAATATGCACTACACTACGACCCATGTCGGGAGGCCCGTCAGTGGCTAAGAGCTTGTACCGGCTGAGGTGGTGCTCCGCTGGTGGGAGATACCTGGTTGAAGAAAAAAACTCTAGCTGACGGTAGGTCGGCGCTGGATCTCGCCATACAGCGTGGAAAGATCACCGCCACCTCCGGAGCAAAAAAACAACAACATGCAATTGCACTTATGCGTCTAATGACCCTGGTAGTTGGCGTTCCCGGAATCACTAAACACTCAATTAATCCATGATGAAAGCATGCATTACACTTACGGGACTAATGACCTTCGTCGTTGACGCGCCCGGAATCACTAAAGAAATCAATAAATCAATCGAAAATGCCGTTGGGGCTTCTTATAAAGTACGAAATACTCACAAACAACGAAATATATGTTTCAAATTCACGGGGACTGGGCATTGACGTGATCGATCAAGCAATATCAATTTTGATGAATATCCTGCCTCCAGTTTAGCCATTAATGATCCCGCAGATGAACGGACGGACCTTCTGCCACAAAACCAATATTTCGGTATCAATATCTTACAAAATTGGATTATGACTACTCAAGGTGTTAAAGGAAGTAAAGTGCTACCCATTGGAATAGAAAGTAACCACATTTTGGTATCAGAGACATAAAATACTATTTCTGTCAAAATAAATCACCGTTTTCTTCAGCAAATTACATTAATTTCTCTGTACTTCATAATAGTATGCAAGGAGATTAACATTTATTGTTTAAATACAAATGTTCACAATTGTTATTTTGTGGGCGATGATTAAAATTAATGAACTTTTAGGCAACAGAAAATGATAATATTTAGTATCAGATTTGTGATCATTTCTACCTAAATTATTAAAATAAAGTTTAAATCTACAATGGAGATTCTAACGCTGTAGAAAAGTTTATTATCACTGACAATTTTGATTGTGGAGTAAGTTACATAATGAAAATGGAATCCGCAAAACAGAATGCAATGAAAAAAACAAGCGTTGTTCGCAGACGTTAACACGAACTTGCGGACAGAAAATTTGTTGAAAAACAATGTTTTGGCATATAGAACACATAAATTAATGATTTCTCACTACACAGCAAATGCAAATACAAGATCAAGAATGATACGCTTTTTTGTTATCAGATACTCACAATTCGAGTTTTCTGTCAAAAACAGGCACTTTTCTCTGCAGCAATACAATACTTTCTCTTTATTACGTAAGTAAGTAGTTGGCAATAAACAAAAAATTCTCCTACTCGTAATGTGGTAAAACTTAAACTTAATGACGGAGAAAAACAAAATAAATGATGATACTTGAAAGGATTTTACAAATAGACTCCCGCGTTTTATGTAATTACATACTTTTTGTCTTTCTACTTACCACTCTCGAAACGTTAATCATGGCGAATTGTCACCTTCTTAACAGTTTATACAATTTCTTCGTCCCCTATTTTTACATATTTAGTACCATTTTCGTCTTACATATTTTACATTTCATATTTTACAATTATTACAATTTTCACAAAATATTTTTTATTCTATCAATTTTGTTTAATATTATTGCTTATTTTTTATGGAAAGAAATAGTTTTAAAAAAATAAGCTTTTCCCCTGTATTATTGTTTTCTGTCTACTTTGATATGTGAAGGCATGGTCGGATGTCACAGTCCGGCACGTCTGCTTCTCAATAGCTTCAATTTTCATTTTTTGGGGGAAAAGTATCACTGACGCCGTGCTTTCTGACCTTTTACCGTAATTTCCGAGAAACTTTGGCGATAGCCGACATGTAACACTTCGATGAGAGTGCTACACCCTGCAGCGATTGTTTCTTGGTCGTAGATATCGCCGATTTGTACGATGGCCTCTATTGCGTCTAGTCTGGCTGCTAAACTAAGGTCTTGAATAGCAATAGATGAAGCTTTTATTACTGACGGGAAAGTTGTATGGTGCAAAGTTTGCAACAATTTATGCTCTCCACATTATTTTTAAAACGTTTGAACTATTTTGAAAATTCTAGGAAGTATTTTATAAATGTAATTTCGTGTTATGTAAATGTGTTTTATAATAAGTATATTTTAATGTTACATATTATATCTGACTTTACATATTTATTACATATTCTTACTGTTTTCATTACATATGTATGTACATATTATGATGTTTCATACTTCATAGTTTCCAGTGTATATTTATAATCATTGAGAATGTCAACTTGTTTATTTAGTATGACGCAAGATTAAATATCTACACTGAAATTCAAAACAAAGTAGTTGATCACTATTATGTATAATTAAGTTATCAATTATATCTAATTCTCTAAGTAATGTATATATCTTCCTGCGTCTTTGAGAGAGTACACTATGTAGCAATCATAGGATTTGGGAGTGATGGTAAGAAGGGAAGATCGAGGATGGTCCGTGGCCAGTTGTATTGGATTCGGCCCAGAATTCGATTGGAAGTGATAAGAGAAACCACGAAAGTTACTTATCAGTGCAGTCGAACTATCGACTCGATCCCTGTAGGTGTTAAATTTCGCTGAAATTCAACACATCAAGAAAATTTCTGACTCCCGGCCGGCATCGAAAGACAGCCAGACGGCTGATCGTAAGCGTAATCTTCGGTTTTGCCAGCACCGACGCTGATCTGTAAACTGTAATTTATTATACTTAAAATGCTACTTTAAAATTTGATAGTTATTTAAAAATTACAAGCCTTACAATTAGTAAGATTAATAAAATGATTTTGACCTAATTTTTTGTTCCTTTCTGACGTGCTATGACTCTCATTTTCACATTTTTATCGAATTAAAAATGCATTTGATCATTAAATTTGTTTATATTTATCACAATTATGAACGAAGTGAGATGTTTTGTTTCTGTTTTAGAGAGTTGGTAATTGTTCCAATCAATGTTACTGATGTAGATAAATTAACCGAAAGAGATTGATTACATCGCATTCCCAATTTAGTTAAGCAAATTACTACGTTTTCTCTTTTAATGGTACAATAGCTACCAACAAAAAAGATGACAATATCCAATTTTAACTTTCCATTGATTGACAAAAAATGTACACCAACCATTTCTGTTTCTACAATTTTAGTACCTTAAAAATTGCTCAACAATATTTGTGAACATAATGAATATTTCCTAGAACAAAACAAGAAATAAAGAATTACCATTGTTTGATGTGTGGAAAAATATCTTGAGTTTTGAACAAAGACAAATATACTCGTATTGATATGAGAGTAGAATATTGAATTTACCCACACATTTTCACAAAGAGCATTATTTGAAGACATCGAATATTTGAGAAAGCTATGAATGATGGTAACATAACTCTACTAAACGTACCGAATAAAACGGTACACTTCCTTTCATTATGTCGAATTTGATATGTTACTAAAGAAGCATAAGAACTGGCACACTAAGAAAATAACTCTTTAAGAGTAGAAACTTTGTACTATACTTGATTCTAAGGGTAGATGATTACTTTAGAAATTGTTTGTTTTGGGGATCAATGTTTAGTAATAAAAGCTATACAAAATTTTCCCCCAGGCATCAATCCCATGGCCGTTGTTTTATGATATTTTTACTTATTAATGAACATCCTCTATTTTTATTATTCTTATTATTTTCTATTTTAATATTAATCAACAATATATTTTTTGGATTTCCAAAAACAAATAAAATAATTGAGACTTGACGAAATTTATATTGGGCGAGTCACGACGACCGCCTGCACAGCATATCTGTTTTCTAATTTAAATTTACCAAAGATTATCCAGAAGAGATGGAAGGTACTTATCAAGTAAGAGTATCAAAATGACGTAAATAAATTCGTTTGAAGTTTCAAATTTAAGAACATTGTTAAAATGTGTTCTCATACATTTACTCAAAGGCTGAAGTCTTTGGCAATCCTACTTAACACATACATGAACTTATTAAAGTAATCTTAATGAAAAAAACATACTTTCGTAGTATTGAAGCATTTCACCATTTCAACAAACCACTCTTTAACAAACATATACAAGATCGAATCCGAACTATTCCTTTATGAAAATTATTTATCACTTGAATTTCACCATATTCATCAATACAATCAAGACGATTTTTAATTTTACATTGTATTTACTCAGATCGGCTTCACGACTACAGAGGTGAGGTAGCCACATCCCGAAAATCAACAAACAAACACACACACACACACTCACACACATTCCTCAGAATTCAGAAACATGATCAACAATGCTTCGCCATCTTTTGTTGACATTTGACTCGTCACAATTCCAATACCTCTTCTAACTCTTTTTGTCGTAATCATTGGTAAGCTGATAAATTAACCTTATTTTTTGTTAACATCAAATGTATTCCCAACTTTATCGGAATTTATATTTTACATACTATACTTCACAACACTGTTACATATAAAATATTTTGTATCGATTCTCGCTTTACGTTTCAGTTGTCCCAAATTATTTCCATAAAACTGAAAGAAAATTACTGAACGATGGAGGTCGTCTTTCTAACGCTATGATGTAAATGTATGCCGAATTAGAAAAAGGAACAGAAAAATTATCGTAATAAAAAAATAAGGTGTTTGTTTCATCCATTCTCTGCGTTCGATATCTGAAAAAAAAATCATGAAAATCTCAGAGAACAAGCGCAGAATATTGGTTTTATTGTTTTCGAATTTGAATGTTCAAGTTGAAGCCTTTGATGTATCAAATGTATGGAATTCAGAAGGTGGATTTTATGAGATAAAGGGAAGATAGTCTCCGGAGTTTGCAAATGTAGGGATGGCGATTAATAAAGAAGGGATTCGATATCCATGTCAAAGACACTGGTGCTAGGATTCAGTAAAGATACGCCGGACGTTACAATCGTGTTCTTTCAATGATTCAAGGAAAATGCTTGAAAAAAGCAAATATTGTGTAGTTAAAGAACAATTTCTGGAAATATTTTAATGCTATGTGTCGAAAGGATAAATTCACTTATTTTATTACTCGTATTGTGGAGTAGGTTATAAGAAAAAGGTGACATAATATATTTTGTGCACTTTTAGTGTGTAATATATATTTTCAAAAATATGTAGCGTGTATCCCGCTCACTTGTCAACAGTACATTCAAAATCATAAGGTCAAATAACACACATAGTATTGTGAATTCATTTATCAACTATGATGTAGTGTATTTTGAATCATAATTCTACATATCTGATATAATAGGGTCTGACATTTTTATGCTCTAACATCCCTTCTCTGAAAATTACGGCGTAGATGCATAGGTCATCATCGGTATCACTGCAGGGCTTTTGAATGCCTGGGCATGAATCCCGACGTTGGCAGGATTTTCGACTCTAGCTTGTCAGCTAGATCGACTTCAGTCGCAGTCTGGAGGAGAATTCTACCGGCCGGCTGCTCTGATCAGTAGTTTTCCATAGTTTATTCGATCAACACTTACATGCACAACATGTCTGGAGACCGAGATAAAACATACATTATGCTTATGGGACTAATTACCTTATCAGTTGACGCGCCCGGAATTACTAATCAATTAATCAATCTGTAAAAGTTGTTTACGGAATATAGAGTGTTTAAGAACCATGATTTGTCGAAGTTTCTCTCCGAGTAAACTTCATGTCGTAATGTTGATATTTCAACAAGTATGTAATGCCCCGCCAAATGTGTAAACTTCCAATAAAATTCTGTTATTTTTTGAATTTAATGCAGTTCTGCTTGCTTAAGAATACTTCATGGTGGCAAGTAATGCGACGTAGGTATTCGTAATACTTTAACTTGGTAAGGTCTTCATGAACCCTCTTAGATTTTTAAATGAAGATGTGTAGTTTTTTCATCTTTATTAAAAATAATTATTTAATGACATGATATTTGTTTATGTTTGACAGTAATTTTGTATTAAGTATACCTCGTGGTATGTTAATGGGGAATGGTGCTCAAGACATTTTCATACAAAAAGAAAGTTCTTGTATCTTTGGCCCATTATTTGTTTTATAGACAGTTGTACTACAAAAAGGAATTAAAACAAGTTATTTAGAAATGGTTTCATTGTCTGATAAAAACATATTTTTGTGTCTATATATTTTTAGAACATTCTTTGCATTATAGACAGTTGTACTACAAAAAGGAATTAAAAACAAGTTAATTTATTTTTGTAGTACATTTGTCTACAATGCAAATAACGCTCAAGATATACAGGTACAAGAATATGTTTTTAACAGACAGAAACTATTTCCAAAAAGAAAGTTCGTTGAGTAATTTCACTTCTGAGATGTTATCACGTTTTCTGTTACAATTTGTAATTTTCATTCTGTGGTTAAGATTCTTAGTAAACAAAAACTCGTGATATGACTGTCTTGCACACCCTTCCACATAACTTGGTAAGGATGCTGACGAAGTTAACGACATGCGGCAAAAAAAACAAACAACAAACAAGGCTGTACAGAGAACGAGAGACCAAGAAAAAATAATGTGTATTCTGCTTGTCTACCACTACATATACAGTTTATGAAGCCGATCGCTTGCTAGCTAGGTCGATCCCGCGGCAGTTTTCTTTTGGTCTCTCGTTCTCTGTACAGCCTTGTTTTTTTGGCGCATGTCGTTAACTTCTTCTGCCTCCTTACCAAGTTATGTGGCTCACTTTTTTCACGGCCTTCAGTGGCACCGCAGTCAATACTCTCTCTCTCCTCGTCCGTACGTCGATACTCTTTGCTACGTCGCTGGTTAAGTAACTGGGAGATTACGACCTATCCTTTACAATACAGGTGTCAGTCGGTCATTGCCAGTCACTAATGGAACATTCTGAAATTTAGCTTGCAGAACTTACTTTCACAGTTGTATTTGCTATCCTGACATTTCGGTTCCAACATGCATGTTGTAAGCTGTATTCTTCGGCCTCCACACAGGTAGTGTTATGTTCTTCCACTTCTGTAGTATGTTAGTCTCAATCTCTTTTCACGATGCTATTGTTCCATCTCTCAATCAGCTTTTACTGGTTGAAAATAACTCACTCATCTACAAATTTTACCAGAGATTATATTAGGAGGGGAATTGGTTAGATTCTGTACATGGAAATACAGTAACCTTGTCCTGGTACCAAATTAACTTTGTCAATTGGCAAGAATTACTTCAGTGAAAAATCGTTAAAATACATAACATAACAAAGTTATCCCATAAATTTTGCAACAATATGACATCAATTACACAACTATCCCAATACAACCTAGCAAAGCACCCATAAATGCCACCAGAATAAAAAAAAGATTTCTCAAACATGCTTTTTATATACAATTTGCAAATTTTGATGCTTCTTTGTGAGGTGCTCAGTGGGTTTCCTCTCACGAAGAAATAATTGTAAAGAAATAATAATTTAGTTTTTAAAATAAATATATAGTAAGCATCAAGATATGTGAAGAATTTGTAGTGTTAACTGATCCATGTATCACATTCAAAATATTGATAATGAAAAAAAAAACTGTCAGGGTCTCTCCTTCTCATCCATAAATTACACGTGCCTTTCGATAAATAATTAATTTATTTTCTCCATAAATGCAGATCACAATCCTACCAGGAGAAAAGATTCTATTCGCACAGAACCAACCAAGAGGGTCAATCAATTACGTTACCACTCGAAGAACGTCAATCAACAACGTTCACATTTTTCTCCAATACCCTCTCGACACCCCAACGCGTCTCAGAAGCGATCGTAACACTTACATCCGATGTATTACCAGCGCACGTGTTCTAGAGCCCTCGATTCAGTAGATGCGAGAAGAGAGGGGGGTTGATCATTGTGTCGACAGGATTATTGTATCAAATCTGTAGCTCGTTTTACAATTCAGAATAACTTTCGTGGGAGCGGATATTTCTGATATCAGATTTTGTCCACAACGCGCGTGTCTATTATTTATTCTGAATCCAACTAATGTTAGTAAGGTAGTGGGGGTAGGTATTCAAGAAAACGTGCGGGTAAATACACGATCTATTGACGAAGTAGCGGGTTTTCCTCCAGGATCGAGCGACGTGTGATGGTGTCTTTCTGTATTAATAGATCCACAGATCGCTCGGGAGTGGAATACCAGGCCTGCCAACGCCCTAGCGCGCAGATATTTAAAGCCACACAATCTGCATTTAATTTCAAATTGTGGTTTTTAATCTCAGACCCCCCACCCAATTTTGATTTTTTTTTTTTTTTAAAAAAAAAAAATTTTTTCAAACAAAAAAAAAAAAAAATTATTTGATGTTATTTTTGTTCAAAAGCATTTTTTATCCCATTTAACCTCTGATGTTTCTCATTTATAAGTGCTTAAAAAAAACATTTCCTTTCCACTAACTACTTACAACTTGTAGATTACATTAAATTTAAATTTTAAGAAAAACATTACTTTTTGTAATTTTAATATTTAAACATTACTCGTGTGATATTTTCGCAACTGCGGTCAGGCGCGGCAAGACGGGCCTGATTGGCCCGAGCCTCGCCATTATTAATAAAGCATATTATTATTATTATTATTTATTATTATTATTATCTATTATTAATTATTATTATTATTATTATTATATTATTAATTTATGTATTGATAGAGTACTTCGGGAGTTATTTATCGAGGCGGTGTGCAAGCGCACAGCTGCTTCCTCCAACCGGGCAGAGTCACGAGAAGCGCCGAAACTTCCAAATAGGTCGTCAAAGGGAAGCGTGTAAACAGTGTCTGAGGCGAACACTCGCTCTATCTCTCGTCCTCTGTCACCTTTGTTTTCAGTCGCTAGCGGGAACCCTGTTCTTAAAGCATGGGGAGCCGGGGGCTCTTGCCGATCGCTTGGTTCCAACTTCAGCCAGTTGAGCTTCAGGCACCCAGTTTGCGTGCGCAAGTATACGCGGCGGGGGGAATTTTTTTAAAAAATGCAGTCAGATCAAAAATTATTACCTTCTTACAATCATTTGAAACCATATATGAAGCATTTATTTTAAATATTGCATCTTCCTCTGTATACCGTTAGCGTGTTAGTTTTAGGTGCTTGCGTTACCGTTCGAAAATTGCTTACCCACCGTGTCCAACACGTTCGAGGACCCCAGAGCACCGCGCGTCGGTAGTATTAGGGAGGCGGCGAGCAGAAGTGGCGCTGCGTCGCCGTTGCTACGACGAATACGCCACCAACTACAACGGATTCTAACGCGCCCCGGAACGTGAATTGGTAGTCCATGCATGAAAAGGGGTTTAGATCTTGAAGTTGAACAAGCCTGTGTAAATCGGTTAATTTCTTTGTTGTTAAGTGGTCGTCAAGGTCTATCGGGTATGTGAAAGCCTTAGGTTTTCGTCCACTGGAGTCAGTTTCTACTCGCTACGGCGTTCCTCATTTCGCCCTGAAGGTCACAGAAGCGTTGACACATTGTCCAGGTTCGCGCGCGACTTCTGGATCAGCCAAGTAGATACTAAAATCGGTAACGTTCTTTGCGATTCATAATACGGATCTTCACCACTCTTTGAACGCAGGCTCCTTGTGGCAGCGTAGCCTCCCCGATCCGTATCCCGCCCGCTCTGCGGCGCGGTCGCCTTCCGCCACGCCCTACATCGGCAGGCAAAGGCGGCTACGAGCGGCGACCGCGTCCCATTGACGACGGCGCCCGCCGCCGCCGCCACCGCCGCCGCCGCCGCCGCCGGGGGCGCTGCGTCGGCGCGCGGCGTCGCGGCCGGCTGGCGCGCGCGGGCGGCGGCGACGGCGGCGGCAGTGGCGCGCGCGCCGGGCGTCGCGCCAGGCAACACACCCCTCAAGCCGACGCCGGCGCAGCCGAGCGCGCCAGCGAGCCGCAGCGGCGCGACTGCGGAGCGCATGAGGACGAGGGACGCGAGGAGGAGGACGAAGAGCGAGGACGCAGCCCGGGGCGCATGACGTCGCCGGCGCAGCGCCGCGGCCGCCCCCGCCCCGCCCAGGCCGTCGTCGCGGTCGTGGTGCTCGCCGTGGCAGGTAGGGTCGGCCGCCGGCACGCGACGCCGAAAGGGCCGCTGGGGATGTCATGCGAGCGGGAAGGCAGAAATAGCTGCGAGATCTTGAGATACACGTTCAACACGACGGAAACATGAATCAACGAATTATTTGGTTCATTGTTGTTCTCCGCTTTTATAATAACAATGTGATCAAAGTGCCAGCTCTTATTCAACATTCATCACTTCGCTTTGTTCAAATTTTGTGTATTTTCCTGCGATTTCTTTCTTTCCAAATTATCCACCAAAGTGCATTCGTTTTCCAGATACTGCATTCATATATTTTGTTTTAAAATACAACATTCGATATAATGTCTGATTTTAAGGTTGGATATAAATATGTGGCGTCAATCTTTATACTGTACATTGTCAGTATCGTTCTTTTTGTGTCGTGACAGGTAGTGGCAAGCACAGCCTCGAACGGAAGAGCTCTCTGGTTTGAAGCAGCGTCGTTAGGTGAGGGACGTCTGAATGTTGGCGTGTTATGAGTGTGTGAGAGGATGAAGAGCTTGGAGGGTCGCAAAAAGTAGATTTTGGAAGAGGAGAACGTATTAAACACGATTTATATTCTTGTTGAAGTTAAGATTATTTATAATGACACTGACTAGAGTGTCATCAGGTTTCAGAACAGATTATTATATTAATCATAATACACACAATAATTATTTAATATCTATAAGCCTTTTTGAAATATTGTTGAGAATTTTTTAATATTTTTCATAGCTTAAGAGGGATTGAATGAGTTGTTCGATCCTAAATGATTGTTGTTTTTAGAATAAGACTAAGATTGATTTGGATCACATTTTGAGGCATAGAAACTTGAAAACAAGTATTTCCCTTGGTCTTTGATGCATTCCAATGTATTCTGCTTAATAAGTTTGCAAGTTTCATGTTTTATTTCAAACCTTTTAGAATAAATAACTGAATTTGAATAAAAATATTAATTAATTTTGAATTGCTGGATAATGAATGGAGCTATGATTAGATTTTGTAACTTGAACAAAGCGCCATCCATATTTCAAAGTGTTTATTTCGCAGATTAATTTAGGTATTGCAGCAGGACGAGTGAACTGGTATATTCTGGCCTTCAAATGGATTTAAGATTGAGTAGACGATTTTGAAGAATCAAATATGCAACATTTAAGATATTATAAAAGGGTGGTGGGATGGCTTATGGAGGCATTAAAGGAGATTGAGAAGTCGGAAGCGGTAGTTCGTTATGCAGGTATTTTTTTGGAGGTAAGATGTTTAATATTTTTTCCATATTTTAAGTTGATAGTACTATTCAATTAAACTCCTCTTAAAACCGCACCAGCGTTCAAGCTGTGATAATACTGAGAGAGGCCCACTATTCATTAACAGGCACCGAAGGATGCTGATGAGGTTTGTGATCGCAAACCTTCAAAATTTCATGGTAGCTATCGAAGATAAAAATTATCATTTTATGCCACTTAAGCCCTCCGGAACAATCCGGCACTCATCGCAGCAGGCTTTATGTGACTTGAAACGGGGAACAAGCAACAAAGTGATCCTATTAGGAATCGTAACCTTGTCCTTGTATCCCCAATGCTATGATTTTTATTGGGCTACCACCGAGTTTTTAAACATATTTATTAATTTAACTTGCTCTGAGCATCTATTGCATGACTATTTGTTGATTATTCTATCGATGTATTCCTCTGAAACCGTACAGTACTAAATAGTTGAATGGTTATGGTTATCTCTACCTCTGTCGGTTAACCTTAATTTCCGTCGAAATAATGTTTTTGCAGGAAGCATTAGAAGTAAAGGATATGTTTATTTTCTCCATAACTCTACGTGTTCCTTAATAATTAGTAAATCACCTCAGTTGGAAACACGAGAAAACGGGCATCATGTGTATCGAAAGTTTCGTTCTGACGCTTGCGGGGAAATAACAAAGTTTCTTTCACGAAACAAAAGTTGTATTACTGCGGGTATTCAGAATTCGTTGCGGTAGGGAAGCGAAAGAAAAATATAATTCGAATCGTTATATTTCGACACAATGCGCCTTTAAAGCAGCTAAGCTACGATATAGAAAGAAACCTTCTAAATTATTGGGCTACCGAAGCGCATTCTCTTATGGTTGATTGGGTACTTCAGGTTTTGGGCGCATTTTCCACTGCTGTGGTCAGTAGCCCCATGCGTGTAGTGCAAAATTTTGTCATGGGAGATGGCTGTGCTCATCCTCCGCTGGATGTTGAGATCCGACCTCGAGCTACACATGGACTTGCGCGCTTTTCATCGAGATATCTCCCAACGGCCGGGAAACGTAAGCTCGCTTCTGGTCTCCTGAGATGTGTGGTAGGGTGTTACATGTACGTGGGAGTGTGTGAAAGGGATGATAATAGGATAAGGAAGAGGAAGGAATGATCGCGCGCGGTTCGTGACCCTGCTTTTAGGGAGCTACTCTGGCATTTGCCTGGGGTTGATCGGAGAAACCACGGATTACTACCGATCAGAGGAGCCGGCCGCCAAAATTCTCCTTCTGACAGAGCCTGAACTCGGCCTTGCTACGTAGCTAGAGTCGAAAATCCTGCCAGCGTTGGGACCTCCCGCTCAGAGACACCGCATTCTCGTTCGGGACGGTCTGGAGCTGCTACGGAGGTTTAGATTTAGATTTATTTAGTAAAAAAACAGTAAAAAAAATGTATGTGACGTATAGGGGAGAAGGTCATCTGCGCACTTTTTCTTGAGTTCCAGAATCCTTTCCCATCATTTTAACAATAAATAGTTGAAAGATTATTTAAAATAAATAAATAAAACTAAATTTAAAAGTGCGAGATTAGAAATATTTTTAAAAAAAGTAGACATTTTCGTTTCCGAGTTATTTCCATCGGGTTCCGAGAAAATTATTTGCATCGGTAAACGAATTGCAAGTACGACTTCTCTGCATTGCTGACAAAATAGTTACCTCCAGGTCGAGTTGTCGCGAGCAGCTCATCGCGGCGATCCGCGCGCGGCGCGCCGCAGTTTCGCGTAAGCGACGCGTCGAAGTTCAAGGTAACAGAAGCTCGCAGCGGAGTTGTTCCGTTCTGTTTGCGGATCCCGCGTGCGGCGGCGAGGGGCCTCGAGGTGACGAAGGTGGAGGGGAGGAAGAGGTGCGCGGCGCGGCTTCGTGGAAGGCGGAGCGGCTAGGAGTGTCGCGCGACAAGTTGCAACCGAAAAGGAGGGCCTTTGTGGACGCAGTTGCAGAGGGCCGTCTTCCTTTGGCGCTTCGTTTGGGTCTGAGGGTGAACTCTCTCGGGTGTTCGGTGCCGGTTGGGGCATTAGGGTTAGGGAGGAATGGATTTTATGTCGCTGTTCGAGAAAGACATTGACGCATACACAATTTTTTCTAAAATGGGACTTAACCTCGCGGATCCAGAAATATCAAATGCACGTGAGATGAAAATTCTTCTTCGTGAGAATTCTAGTTAAGGGCTTAGCCGATGACCAACATTACTAAATATATTGACTATACAATAGATAATGTACGAGAATCAATCTGTGTTTTGGCTCTCCTGTAAAGTTGCCATTTCTAGAGTTGTGACAACGTACTTGAGTGAGTCAGCGATATAATAATGGGGGGGCATATTTCTGCCGTAACACAATCACGAAAGAAGAATCGTGGGTGGTCTACTTGGGTGTCTGGACGGAAAGTATCAGGGAAGTTGATGGTGGAAGAAATCATGAAAGCGAACGATGAGAGCAGCCGGTATGAGGCAGAAGTCGCACCAACATTGCAGAAAGGGTGTTCGCAAAGTCGGGACATAATACAAGGTCTTTCCTATCGGCGTGTCTCTAATTTCGGCAACCCTTTTTATCTCTCACCGTTTATCTTCAGCTAGTCTTGTCAACGTTCTGCGCACTCCATTGCCAAAATATATATATTTTTACTGACATGTCAACCTATTATGTACACTAGTTTGTTCCTTTGTTAATCTTCTAAAATTATCACAGTAGCTAGAAATTACAATGGGAGTGTCACTACATTGCGTTGAACGCAATATCGCGACCGCTTTCACAAACGACGCTTAAGCCGAGATTCCGAAAAGTCTAATTATTGCTGGGCGTTGAAGGGCGGGACGCGAGCCGGCGGGGCAGAAATTCAGCTCTGTTGGAATTCGTGGAAACGGACCGCACGGGTCGCGGGGCGCAACACGTCGCGGGCGAAACAGGGCGCTCGACGCCGCGGGGCCTTTGTAAGGCGCCGCCGCCGCCGCCGCCGACTGCCC